GGCATTTGCTATGTTCACAAAGAACAACCCGGCCATCAAAGTCAGCTTGGTGGATGTCAGGTTGGCACAACCACCAAGGGATAGGTCCTCATCCTAGGTAGGAACCCAGCAAGAGTGGCAGTTCATCTCTGCCTCAGGGTTACAAGGAAGGCCTGGCACCCATGTCTGTAACTCCACATCCTGGAGCTGAGCATCTGGGAGAGGGATCTAGTCGGGACTCTTGGAAGCTAGAGAAATGGGGACAAAGTTCTTCATATACCAGAGGGGGAAGCTGCTGAAGAGGGGCCAAGGGCGAAAGGAGGGTCCCTCTTACACACAGCAGGCATGAGCCTGGTGGCAGCAGCCTGGCCTCTCTCTGCCACACCGAGTTCCTGTGGAGGACTGTGTTTTTCATGCTACACTCTAATTATACTTGACATGATCATCTAAACAGTGAGGTAGAGAATTTGAGGGGAAAGAAGCCACCTCACCCCACCCCACCCCACTCCCTTGGCCAGTTTCCAGGGTACTCTGAGTCATCTCTATGGGTTTTTCAAGTCCCTGCTGTAAAGGCATTCCCATCACTCCCCTGAGGCTCAGTGATAGCCACATGGTGGAATGACCAGCAGAGGAGCCTGCTGTTTTCAGTCTCCTTGCTCTCTGGTGGCCATGGGGACTTAATGCTGTCTTTTCCAGCATTGGACACTTGCCATGGCTATCATGGTACAAACTCCAGTTAAGGGGTTGTCATTGTCAGTGGACAGATTCATGTCCCCTCTACCTGACTGACTTTGGGGCAGGCTCACACCTTTACCATGGTACTTAGAGATGGAAGTGAACCAACAAGCTGTATCTGCCTGTGCCCTGCTCTCATCTGGCCCCAGAGCAGACCAGGCTAGCCAGAGGACCATCTAGGCCTTTGGGATCTGGGATGAGAGCTATCATCATCCATCCTTGAGCTTGGCTCCTCTGAACCCCTAGGAAGTGTTTCGGCGGCACCGGGGACTACGGCTCCTAGCCCTGGTGGAAGAGGTACTGCCACGCCACCGAAGTGGCCACCGTGGGGACTGGCATATCTCTCTGAGCAAGCCCAGTGAGAAAGAGCAGCACCTGCTGATGACTCTTGTAGGAGAGCAGGGTGAGCAGACGGGGGAGGTGTCCCACCACAGGCCTGTAACGGAGGCTCAGAAAAGAACAGATAGGGCCATAAAGCTAGGAACCTAACAGGCATGCTCGTGCAAGGCTCTGGATGGGGTGATACCTGGGTTCTGGGGATGAGGAGACAGATATGGGCATCACACTATGACAGCAGGACCCTTGGGCTGCCGAGGTGACTTCTAGCATCATGCCTTGCATATAGTTTCCCAGGGGATCAGCTCAATGGGAAGCAGGTCAGCAGGGGACATACATGGGCCCTGAGGTTCTCTGTGATTAGAAACAGAAGGGCAGCAGAGGAGGCTCGAGCAGCTTGTTGTAAGAGAAGGGTTGGGTGGTGTGGAGACACCTCAAGGTGCTGTGGTGATGATGGCATTTTCCTCCAGGGGTGGTCCCCACGCAAGATGTCCTTTCCATGCTCAGTGGCATCCGCAGGAGTCTGGAGGAGGTAAGTGTGTGGGGACCTGACCTGGTGGCCACTGCAGTGTCGTCTACCATCCTTGACTCTCAGAAAGTGCCTGGAAGAACTTACAGCCTAGTCCAGGACAGGGGTGTGTCTCAGGGCTCTGGCCATCCCCAGACAAAGAGTGTGTGCAGGTTACCACTCAAGCAAAAGGACTGCACATTCCCAGGCCATGGTTAGAGGACAGCCATGGAAGAGGGAGTTAAATGGGATGGTGTCTGAAGTATCGTGGAGAACATGGAGGGGGAACAAAACAGACCCTGCCCCACCAATGCTTCTGCAGGGGAACCTGAGGAGTGGGAGATGTCAGGAACTGGAAACAGCCCTCCCTAGTTAGATGTGGCCCTGATCAGATGTGGTCTTCTGGCTCCTGCTGGGCTATGGGACACATAAGCTGGAGGTCCAGATATCAAACACTCCTGATCCTCACCCCTACCCCTGCTAGCTCTCACCTTTAGAGGGACTGAGTGTTTGACAGCACCCAGCATGTCACATGCAAGGGAGCTGTGTGTTTCTAGCCTGTGTCCAATGTTTACAAGGGTCAGATTATACTAGATCTCCTGTGGACCCCTCTTCCACTCCATGGGTTGTAAGGATTAAATGAGGTGAGAGCCAAAGCCCAGAGCTGTCAGGCCTTGCCTCAGACCACCCAGGTAGCAAGGACCTGCCTGCCGGGTGGAAAGCTGCCGAGCTGCCTGAATGACTCCCAAAGCTCTCCTCCTGGAGCTTTGGACCTCCAGCGTATGTGTCCCGTGGTCCAGCAGAGGCCAGAAGACCACATCTGACCAGGGCCACCTCTAACTAGAGAGGGCTGTTTGCAGTTCGTGACATCTCCCACTCCTCGGGCTCCCCTGCAGAAGCATTGGTAGGGGTGGGGCCTGTCTTGTTCCCCCTCCACCAGGTTCTTCATGATCTCCAAATCTGGGCTCAGGAACACAGATGGACAGTGGACACCTGCATGGGTTTCACACAATGAGGGAGGAGCTGAAGCCAGCCCCTGCCCCAGAGCTCACTAACAATACTTTTCTTGGTTCCGGAAGCTGGACTGTAGAGAGAGAAGCCAAGCCAGCTAGAGCAGCTTGCAGTAGGGAGGCACATGCCGGCTGTGAGCTTACCACTGGGAAAGGGAAGAAGCTGGAGACCCCAGCTGTGGGCTGCAGTTGGCTTCCTCACCGAGGCCCCAGTGATGCTGGGCCTACCATGGATGGCCAGAATGATGTTACCTTACCCCTAAAGAGGAAGCTTGTTTCAGGGCTCTGACTCTGTGCGGTGAACTTGAGAGTCTCCCAGATGCCTTGTTGCTTTGTGGAACTGTTGGGGACAGGTGTGGGGCCCCATCTATTTGGGCCATGACTGTCACGTCTCGGTGCTGTGCAGGGTCAGAGCTGGTGCATTCAAAGTTGAGTTGGGGCAGAAACACAGTGAGGATGTGAGGGGGCTGAAAATGTGGCCACTGGGAGAGGCTTGGAAGTGTTCTTAGATGGACCAATAGGGACAGAATGGTAAGCCCCCCAGCACAGGTCCAGGTCCCAGGGCTGTCAGGGGCTCTAATTTACCCTTGGGATGTTAGCTCTCAGGACTTTCCTGATGGCTGGTCCCGCACCCCCACCCTCAGATTGGCATCCAGAACTACTCCACCACCAGCAGCTGCCAGGCACGGGCCACCCAGGTGCGCAGTGACTACGGGACGCTCTTTGTAGTGCTGGTGATCATTGGTGTCATCTGCTTCATCATCATTGTGCTTGGCCTACTCTACAACTGTTGGCAGCGCCGGATGCCCAAGCTGAAACACGTGGTGAGTAGGCCAAGTAGGGCTTGGGAATGAAGGGCAGTGTGTGGCTAGTATCAGCCAGTGCTACCCAACAGCCTCACCTAGAAACCTGTACCAACTCAAGTTGTGCTCAGTGCCAGGCTGGGGCCTGCCATCTACCTCCCTGAGCCTGGTACTGTGTCTTTGAGGAGATACACAGTGAGGGGATGGATGTAAGTCTCACCAAGGGGTCCCTCCTCTTCTCCAGCTCTTCTTAACCCCAGTGCCCCATTCTGCAAGGCTTGAGAGCAGTGGCTCCCCTCCAGTCCTAAGAGCCAAGGGCTCCTGCAACCTGCACAAGAGAAAGGGGGCAGGCCCTGCTCATTCGGCCCTAGTTCATGTGCTTTGAGTTTCGGGCTGTCTCCTGTATAATGTGCTGTTGGAAGGGATCAGGTGACACGGGGGCGGGGTCACAGAGTTTAACGAGCAGAAGTTTAGATTTGAGCTGCAAGCACTTGTCTTCTGAGCCCCAAGGGAATGCCTGGGGGCTTCGCGTGGTCAGCCACTGCGCGCGCGCCCAGCGCTCTCTCCTGCTGCTGCAGTCGCACGGTGAGGAGCTGCGCTTCGTGGAGAACGGCTGCCACGACAATCCCACGCTGGACGTGGCCAGCGACAGCCAGTCGGAGATGCAGGAGAAGCAGCCCAGCCTGAACGGTGGGGCCATCAACGGCCCGAGCAGCTGGAGCGCGCTCATGGGCAGCAAGCGCGACCCTGAGGACTCGGACGTGTTCGAGGAGGACACTCACCTGTGAGCGCCGGGCCACGGGCGCGAGACTGCCCGACGCCACGGCCCCGCGCCCCTCCCGACCCTCCACGCGGGCCACCACGCTTCCCCACCGCAGCAGGCGACCGCGGCGCAGCTCCCACCCCGCCCCGCCCGGCCCCGAGCGCTTGCCCGAGGCCAGCGTGCTCCCCGCGCCCGGACTCCATTAAAGCCGCCAAGACGCGCGGGCCGCTCCGCCTTCATGCCTGTTTCTTGCCTCCAGAGGGCCGCACTCCGGGGAGTGGGTGGGAAGGGCCTGGATGAGTAGGTGGGGCACGGGAGGCTGGCTGGGCGGGGCAAGAGCGGGTGGGCTGGGAATTCTCTGGAGTTTGTGGGCGTGGTTAGGGGCAAGTGGGAGGAGTGTAGGGAGTGTTCGGGCTTCTGGGTGGAATCCAGGCCAGGTGGGCTGAGCCTGAAGTAGGCTGGGAAAGGTCCTGGTGGGCGAGGCCTCGGCCTGATGGGCGGGACCTGAGCCGGACAAGTCTAAGGACGGACAGGCGTTGTTAAGGTTCAATATTCCACGCCTGGGGGAGGTGCTGTCCTCAGAACAGATCCCGTGTAATGTGGGCGGGGCCTGCAGCGGACTGCTCTTCGGGTGAAGCTCTACTGAGGGGTTGGGGTCTCGGTAGTGAGCTAGTCTCCGGGCGAATGGGCGGAACCTGGGAGAACTGAGTTGTCCTCTAGACGAGTGGGCGGGGTGAAGGCTAGAGGTCCCCAGAGGCTAAGTAGGCGTGGTTAAGTTAATGGGTGGGGCCTTGGTAAGCGGCCTTGCTGGATGAGAGGGCTGGGTTCGGGCCGGACGGTCCTCCGGGCGCCAGGCGCCGCTGCGGAGCCGCTGGCGGGCATAGCTTGGCGGTGCCGCGAGGGGCGGGGCGGTGAGTGTTTACATCCGGCCCGGCACAGACAACTCCCGAGATCGCTCGGCCGGGGGTCCAGCCTCTTTCGCCATGGACACCAGCGACCTGTTTGCCAGCTGCAGGAAGGGGGACGTGGGCCGTGTGCGGTGAGGACCTGAAGTCCAGGAGGCGGGCAGGCGTACGCAGGGCTTATCGAGCACGGGTGTGCGGTCGGGTGCCGTGGGGCTCCCGAATCTGACCAAGCCCAGAAGAGATCGGGCTCCAGGTCCCTTACTTAACTCCGTGCAGGGAAATGACTCCTCTTCGTGGAGGTTACAAGACACGCAGGCGCTGCTGGTGCAGCCAGTTACGAGCCTAGCGCCGAGACCCTGGTCTCGGTGGGCAGGCAGGGAGAAAGGATTCTGGCCCTTACTTTTCTTTGATAGACTCCTTTCTCCCATGACCTTTCCTTTCAAATCCCCTGGTCCTCATCAGAGGTGTCTAGGCTGCAGCCCTCTCCGAAAACCTCCTTAAGTCTGTCCTCAACACTAGATGCTACCTCGGAGTTAATGATCTGTTCCTCAACTTGAGTGCAACTCTGAGAGCCCAGGTCTTGCCTTGATAGCCTCCTTGGGCTGCCATGTTCCAGTGATGGCTTTCTGGTTCATGACCTCTTCTCTTCAACATCTTACCAATTGTTATTAACACTTCTTCCATAGATCTGTTCTGTCTCTCCCCCCACCCACCCCCGGGCCTGCATCCGCTTTCTTCTGGCTTTCTGCAGTCGTCTTCCTAGGCTGAATTAGGGGCACCATCACCTTCTCTCCTAAATATTATAAGACCAAATTCTCAGCCTTCTGAACCTGGGGCTTGGCCTCTATCCCTGAAACCATCACCTAACTCACAGTTGCAGACCCTTGCTGACCCGTGTAGTCCCAAGTCTTGCCCTTCTCAAAAGCATCCCTAACCCAGAGAGATGTGGCCTCTTTCTCCTTTATGGTTGTCTCTCTCTCAGATCAGAAGCAATTCTGACCCAGGCTTTGAACTTCCTGCCCAGGTACCTACTGGAGCAGCGAGACGTGGAGGTGAACGTGCGGGATAAGTGGGACAGCACCCCTTTGTGAGTGTGAGCAGTGGGGTAGCTGGGTGGGCAGGGTGGGCCTACCCTACTGACAGCTTCCCCCTTTCCTAGGTACTATGCCTGCCTCTGTGGGCATGAGGAGTTGGTGCGCTACCTGTTGGCTAATGGTGAGAGAGGGTCAGGGTCTGACTGTCTGTAAACTCCGAGACCTTGCTACATTTGTATGCACCCTTAATTTCGTGTTAACTCCCTAAAGTCAACAAATGGTACTCTTGAACCCTCTGTCCACTTTCTCACATTACCCTTGACACCTAGGCCAGTTCTGGGACTGTCTCTTATGGTATACCACCATTGGTCTGCTAAACTGACTCTCTGACCTCCATATTTGCAGCAGGAGGATCTTTCCACAGCAAAGCTGATGGGACTGTAGGAGTGTTTGGGATAAAAGCACTTGGCCCTGGTGGCTCATTCCTGTAATTGAATTATTGGGAGAGAGGAAAGTCAAGACAGGGGGATTATCTGAAGTTCAAAGCTAGTCAAGGCTACATTCTGAGACCCACTCTTAACTCCTCTTGCCTTGCTTTCCTTGGGTCTCCCACCTGCTGGCTGCCCATCAACACTTGGGCCCTTAGTGACCCACTAGACCAACCCATCTCCTACCTCAGGGTCTTCTCAGTTGCAATACCTCCTGCTTAGACTAGAGTTCCTTCCTAGATCTGTGCATCTCCCACTTCTTTCAAGTCCCTTTACTTAGCCATCGCACTGGCCTTCACAGCCTCCCCATGTAGCAGCCACCGCCATAGTCACCCTTGGTTCTGTTTTGTAATAATGGAGGCTGTCACATGTAGTACTCATATGCCCTAGTATAGGTTAAGTTGGGGCAGGGAACTACTAGTCGTCAAGATGGCTGGTTACAGGCCAGTCTGCTCTTAGCTTCGTATAGTCCCGTATTTACATATGTATTCATGAATATGCCTACATCTAAGTGCCCAGATTGTATGCCCTTGGCCTTCCCAACGACCAAAGGGTTGTCTGGGCCACCTTGGCAAGGAAAGGCCTCTAGGTTCTGGGCCCTACATGTTGGAGCTGGGGAGAAGGGGTGGCCAGAGACTAAGTGTCCCCTTGACTCTGACTGATGAGCATTGCTTCGTAGGAGCCCGCTGTGAGGCCAACACCTTTGATGGAGAACGGTGTCTCTACGGAGCGCTGAGCGACCCCATTCGCCGTGCACTGAGAGACTACAAGCAGGTCACTGCATCCTGCAGGAGGCGAGATTACTATGACGATTTCCTGCAGCGGTGAGCTGGGGGTGGGGCTTGGAGCACTGGTGGGTTTGCCCTGCACTCTCAGTGGGTTCAGGTGGGTGGGTGTGCTGAGTGGTCTTGGTGAACCAGCAGTTGCCTGGATGATGCAACCCTTCTGGCTTTTCCCAGTCTTCTGGAACAGGGCATCCACAGCGATGTGGTCTTTGTGGTACACGGAAAGCCGTTCCGGGCCCATCGCTGTATCCTCGGTGTTCGAAGTACCTACTTTGCCAACATGCTGGACACCAAGTGGAAGGGCAAGAGCGTCGTGGTTCTCCGGCACCCACTGGTACATCCATCTGCCTTGGGAGAGAATGCCAGCTTCTGGAAGAGCAGTTAGTTCATGCTTAGTGGTAGCCTCTGACCTTTCCTTTCTACTCTGCCTGCAGATCAACCCGGTGGCCTTTGGGGCTCTACTGCAGTATCTGTATACAGGTGACTGACCGACCCCCTGGGCTGGGACAGCAGCACACCCAGGGTAGCCCAGAGCTGATGTCACCTTTGGGGAGGAGGAGTGTGCCCAGCATGACTTAACCTGTTTGGAGAGAACAGGTCCCATCTACAAATTGAGCAGGTCTTAGGTCCTTCTGGATGAGGAAACCAGGGTATTGAGTAGGAGTCACTCTCAGGTCCTGACTCAGCCTCCTAAATCCCCCAGGCCGCTTGGACATCGGTGTGGAACACGTAAGCGACTGTGAGCGCCTGGCCAAGCAGTGCCAGCTGTGGGACCTGCTCGACGACCTGGAGGCTAAGTGTGAGAAGGTGTCTGAATTTGGTGTGTACAGGGTCTCAGTCCAAGGTCTTAGGTTACAGCCTGCAGCTCTGCTCCAGCTCTCTGAGTCCCTACTGTCCTCTCCCCCAGTGGCTTCCAAGCCTGGCACATGTGTGAAGGTGCTGACTATTGAGCCGCCTCCAGCAGATCCCCGGTTACGGGCAGACATGGCACTGCTGGCTGACTGTGCCCTGCCACCGGAGCTGCAGGTACCGAAGGGCATGCTGGCTTGGTGGACAGGAGGGGTGTCTAGAGATGGCGCTGGGAAGGGCAGGTTCCACAGAGCTGGGTTTCCCTCCTGGGCCAACCTAGAAGCTTCCTTCCATGAACAGCTTTGCTCTGAAGGGCGCCTTTCCTATACCAGGGTGACCTTGGAGAGCTGCCCTTCCCATGTCCCGATGGCTTCAGCAGCTGCCCTGATATCTGCTTCCGAGTGGCGGACTCCAGCTTCCTCTGCCACAAGGTACCTGTCCCGTTCCTGTCCACACTGCTCAAGTCCTGGGCTAGCTCCCTGGGGGCAGATTCCAGCCCGGGTACTTTCTGAACTTGCTCTCCGCAGGCTTTCTTCTGTGGCCGGAGTGACTACTTCCGGGCCCTTCTGGATGACCACTTTCAAGAGAGCGAGGAGCCCGAAGCCTCTGGAGACCCCCCAGTTGTCACCCTGCATGACATCTCCCCGGACATCTTCACTCACGTGCTGTACTACGTATATAGTGACCATACAGAGGTGAAGTGTGGCACCCAGTGGGAGGGCAGTTGTGAATGGAGCCCTGGGCTGTCTGCAGTGGGGTTGTCACAGTCCTTGCCCTTAGCTGTCTCAGAGTTTCTAAGTCAGGCATGTGGGTGGCTGTAGACAGTGCCAAAGGTTCCCTCTGTTGGTATGTGTGCATGGCAGTGCAGCGGGGCACTATACAGGGAAGAAGTGTGTTTTCCATTGGGTCTGAGGGGCGAGGTGGCTTGCCGGGGTCCCGGGTGTCCCTTTGTCTGGCTTCTCCAGGGCATTCCCACAAATCTTCCCTCAGAAGGTAATGTTTTAAGGCTGGTAGGCCATATGGGATCTTCAGGGCTGTTCAGCTGAGAATGCTATTCTCCAGGAAAGGTCTTTGTAGAATTGGTGGCCCTGACCCCCAGGCTGTGGCTCCCCCATCCTCTTTGTCCTTTACAACTGAGATGGAGCCACAGGAATGTGTGTCCCTACACCATTTCCTGTTGACCCCAGTCCTGGCCCTCTGGCTCCCACCACCCTGCCCCCTCTGTATTAGGTTTTGTCACAGGCCTTCCTTCTGTTACTTTCCCTCACTTCCTTTCTCATGGCCTGCCACTCACTCTGTGGTTGAGTCTGAAATCCTGTGTCACTCCTGAAGAAGCTTTATACCCCAAGAACATTCTTTATAGCTCAGAGTGGGGGTTGGCCTCTGAACATGGTCTAGCAGTAGGCGACTCTCTCAAGAGCAGTGGGATCTCAGGCAAGTTACATACCTGCTCCGTGTTTCATGTATCCCCCCAGAAGATGGAGAATAACTGTTTCCTTGAATCTTGTACATGTGACCAAAGGTTAGGTAGATAGCAGGGTGACAGCCTGAAGTGTGGTGGCATAGTCCCTCTGCTGAGTCCTAGGCCACCCAGGGTCAGGCTGAAGCTGCACCCTTGGTCTTAGGCAAGGCCTAGCTGTCCCCTCCTCAAAATTGTGTGGTCTTCCACAGTGGAAGGAGCCGTGGCCAAGCTTGTGGACTGGATAGAATCCTCCAGCTCACTTTACTTTCTTTCAAGTCTTTCAAGGCCAGCATAGGTGTCTCTACTCCACAGATGAGGGGACTGTGGTACAGAGGTGAAGGGACTTGCCTGGGATCCCTTGCTGGATGGGGAGGGTTCAGGTCTATGACTGAGCCCACACTGCTTTTCCTGGAAGGCCTGTAGCCCTAAGCACTGGCCTGTCTGCGGCGTGGGACCGCTCCCCTGAGTTTTCTTCTGCCCCTTGCACCCTCAGGGACCCTGGCCAGGCTCCAGAGATGCGAGTCTCCTGTATTTCCACTGAGGTGTCCTCTCCGGACTCTGGGAGCCCTTGGTGATCACTGGTGTCCTGTTGTCCCCTTTTTTTGTGCCACAGCTGCCTCCTGAGGTGGCCTATGATGTGCTGAGTGTGGCTGACATGTACCTTCTACCTGGCCTGAAGCGGCTGTGTGGCCGCAGCCTGGCCCAGCTGCTGGAGGAGGACAGTGTGGTGGGTGTTTGGCGCATAGCCAAGCTGTTCCGTCTGGCCCGGCTGGAGGACCAGTGTACCGAGTATATGGCCAAGGTCATAGAGAAGGTGGGTAGGGGTGCTAGAGTGGAGCCCGTGAGGGTGGGATGCGGCCCTGCTGAGATGCAGCCTGTCCTGAATCTGGTTTTCTACAGCTGGTAGAGCGAGAGGACTTCGTGGAGGCAGTGCGGGAAGAGGCAGCAGCTGTAGCAGCCCGGCAGGAGACAGACTCCATTCCACTTGTTGATGACATCCGCTTCCATGTGGCCAGCACAGTCCAGACCTACAGTGCCATTGAAGAGGCACAGCAGCGACTGCGGGCACTCGAGGACCTGCTTGTGTCCATTGGCTTGGACTGCTGAGCCCTTCCATCTGACAGCCTTGTGGCCCAGGGCTGCCACAGTGGCAGGCATGCGCAGTGTGTGCATGCAGCAACTGTTGCTCTTGCACGCTTGATGGCAGTACAGTGGGCAGAGGGGACTCACTGGGTTCCTAGGGAACAGGATGTTCTTGGGATGAGCCTCCTCCTCCTCCAGTGCACAAGGTAGCCCCAAGATTTGGGGCAGGCAACACTCAGGGAAAACTGGGGTATGGTAGGCTTTGAACCCCATCTCCCCCAACACCCTACCTGCTCCCTCCTGGCTCTCAGCCAGCCCTGGCTTGCTTCGGCTATTTCCACGTACAGGGCTGGACAGGAAGCAGGGAGTGTGTGGCAATAAAGCTTGAATTCACTCTGGGGTCCTGAGCCTGTGTTGGGGTACAGCTTGGGAGGGCAGGCTTTGGGGAGTGGAGCTGGTGAGGAGGGGAAGCTGGGGACTGTGGATAGGGCACTTGGGCATTCTTAGCAGGACACTCCAAGGAGGGTGACCCAAAGGCTTGGAGAACAGGTTGTCTGAGCCAGTAGGCCTGTACCCCTGCCACTTCAGCACAACAGGTGTGACACCATGGCCTAACTGCAGAGAGGGGGACATTAGAGGAATATGGATGCCCTCAGGCCTATTGACTCCCATAGACCTTTGCTTTGTCCCCAGTGCTAGACAGCTGTCAGTCTGTGCTTGTTATTCTGCAGTGCCACAGATCTCCTCACCTTTGTGGTTGCCATTTTCCAGAACTTTCTAGATTATTCTCATCTTCGTCAGCACATTTCCATTTGTTTTGCTCTTGTGTGTTGGTCTTACAAGGGAAGATCTGAAGCTGCCAGCCGGGACAAGTTGCCTTCAGTTAGGGTTGCTGGCAGAGTGTTGCAAAGATAGAAGGCAGTTTGCCCCTGAGCCCACCACAAACAGAAGGGAAGACAAGGCAGTGAGGTCTCACTGCCTCTGCCTTTGTACCTGTCTCTACCTGTCTTGAGTTCCAAACTGGGGGATGAGCATTTAAGTGTGTGGTCATCTGAGAAGGCTTAGGGCCTCATCTGGTTCGTGGCGAGCCAGGGTGTTTGTGAAGCATATGCAGGAGATACGGGCCCCCCCCCCCCCGGCGGGCGGTGCCAGCCATGCTGGGGTGTGACAGTGACTTGCATCTTTAGGCTGTTATTTTGAAACCACAAGGACAGGGAAGATGGGGATGCAGGCCATATATACATGAACTCATACGTGAGTTGAATTTCAGAAAGTAAAGGAAAAGTTTTAAATTACTGTAGATTTCTTTCCATGTGTGATTAATTATCAAATCAAGTCCATCTTCTGTATAGATGTTACTTGAAATCAGAAAGTTTCCATCTCTCATCAGACAGTAGTAACATGAGCGAAGGAATTTTCAGTGCCCTGGAATCCATATTTTCCACCAGGTTCATCGATGAAATAGCAGGACGGGGACGGTCCCCGAGGAGCCAGGCTGTGGGTCATAATGGGCAAGAGTTCCCCAAACACTGCGCATGTGCCCATCTCCTCATCTTATGATGAGGCAGAAACCCTTCCGAGTACTGCAAGTAGGAAACACCAGCCTTGTTACCAGTTAAGCAGTGGGGTCCTCCCTGCTCTGCCCAGATCGTGATTGTGAGCAGGTGAGATGTTCTCTACTGATGGCTGTCCTAAGAGGCTGGCCTGGTAGAGACAGAGGCTGTGGAGAGCTGGGGTCTGGGTGCTTCAGGCTGTAGAAATGAGAGATTTAGGGCTCCAGGTGACCAGGCTGGGGATTATCCCACAGTGGCCTGGGTGGCATGGCATGTAGGTCCTACTAGTGTGGCTGGCCAGACCCCTTTGCTCTGAGTCTATCCACTTAGAAGCCATAGGGAAGGAGACACTTCTAGTGTCGCTCTTGAATGTTCTTCCTCAGTGTTTGGTGGCAACAGTTGTTGCCCACTATCCCTGCAGGCCTTGACTCTCAGGACCTGTAACCCCGTAAATGGCACCTTAGAAATCTGACTCCTCAGTTGTTGGCAGCAGCCAGGGTTGCATTCTTGTGTAGCTTGGCAAGCCTGGAGTTCTCAGTCCTTAACACTGTCTTTGGCTCAAGGTTTGGGACTCTTGGCCCTGAAGACAGTTCTCGGGAACTCTTTCAGTGACGGGGCCCACAGTTTCTCTTTCCTCGTTCCTTCCAACCTTAGTTGTGCCTCAGTTTCCATTCTCCACAGTCCGGGCTTTCTGCTCCCATTCCTGCCCTGGCTGCTCTCGAACTGATCAGCTGTTCTTTGTTCTGCAGCACAGCCTGTGACCATTCATATGCCATGGATGCTACTGTTGCTTCTGCCTTCACCTGGCTGCTGATTTTTGTTATCTGCTCATTGACGGTAGACAAGAACAGACCACTTTAAAGATATTTCCTGCTACACCAGCAGGGGAGGGAGCACAGGAGGGTATCTCCCTGCCACTTATAGTGGAGGCCTGAACAGCCTGTTTATATACAGCTTGAGGAAAGCTATTTGGGCCAAGTATAGCCTTGCCTCTTAGCACAGCCATGGGAGTCTGCTGGATGACCTGGGGATGTGCTCCTTCTCTGGCTTAGGTGAAAATGGCTGCAGGGTCATCGAGGGCTCACCCAGCCTCAGGACAGTTCTAGCTGACTGAGGCTGTGCCTTCAGCTGCTGGGACAATCAGATGTGCCTAATTGAGAGGATACTTGAATAGTTTCCTTAAGGTATCTGTGGAATGTTCCAGATGGCTGGCGCTAACAAGGTAGTGGAGTTGACAGTTCTTTTGTTCAGAGTAGCCAAGCATACTTCAAAAGCAAACTAGCTAGTCAGGGTGACACAGTGCTCCTGTCTCACAGTCTCCTCCTCCTCCTCCTCCTCCTCTTCCTCTTCTAAACTGGTTCCTGTCTTAGTTTCAGTTTTATTGCTGTGAAGAGACACCATGGCAACTCTTATAAAGGAAAACATTTAGTTGGGGCTGGCTTACAGCGTTAGAGGTTTAGTTCATTCTCAGTATGGCAGTTTGCAGGCAGACATGGTGCTGGAGGAGTCAGAGTTCTACATCTTGATCAGCAGGCTATGTGCCACACTGAGCATTGCTTAAGCATAGGAAACCTCAAAGCCCACCTCCACAGTGACACACTTCCTCCAACAAGGCCACGCCTACTCTAGCAAGGCCAGCCTCTAACAACGCCTCCTAATAGTGCCGCTCCCTATGGGCCAGGCATTCAAACCGATGAGCCTCCTATTCCAATCACCAGGGTTTCCTTTGAGCCTGGGGCTTGTACCCCAGAGTGACTTTAAAACTGGCTATATAGCCTAGAATGGGCCCAAACTTACGACTGTCCTTCATCTACCTCTCAAGTGTTTAGGATCAGAGGCACACTGCACCCAGTGTGCTTGGGAATTTTAACACCTACCCAGTGTTCCTGGAAGAGATGGGTCCCTCTCATCTGTCCCAGGGCTGCAGCACCTGAAGGGGGAACTTAGAGCCACAGCCAGTGTTACAGCTCAGGCCCAGTGTGGGGAAAAAACTCGCGGGGGCCTGTCCCGGACCCATGAGACAGTGGCCCATGGCGGCAGGGGGGTGGGCAGGCAGAGTCCCGGGTGGCTTATCATGCTGGCTGGTCCCACATACACAAGGTTCCATAGGCTGGAAACTTTGGTGACGGCAGGCCCCAATGATATGAGAAGTCCGTAGATTTCCAAGAAATTTATTGTTCATGGTGTGGTAGTTGGATGTGCACCTCCCCCCCCCAAAAAAAAAGCCAGGGGGGGCTGTCTTAAATAGGGAGGGGGGAAGAGGAGGGACTGGGGGTAAATTTTAATGAGCTACACCCCCCCCCCCGTAACTCATGAATATGGAAATCTCTGTTAGTTGAGCCCTCTACCTGGATGGTGATGCAAACCTTTCTGGGAGGAGCCAAACGTGTCTGCAAGATGCAGGCTAAAGGGGATGTAGGCCGCATGTGGGAGGAGTCTGGAATCTGGGGGCGTGGGGAGATACGTGCCATCCCTCACAGGCCATGTCCCTTTTGGGTCTCCGGCTATCTCAAACCCAGTGCTCTACTGGGGAGACCAAACCATCCCTTTGCAGCCCCACAGCCTAGAAACCTTGAAAACTCCACGGCAACCTCAGCACAGCATACACCGCTGCTCACAGACCCAGCAAGGACATTTGCACCATACTCTGGCCATCCTTTATTTGTATGAAGAATTGCATTTGAGCCAATAAGCACAGCTTCTTGGCAGTCACCAGGAGGCACACGACTGAGCACCAAAGAGGGTGAACAGGTCCCTGAGATCTATTTGTGGTGTCACCTGCTGAGCAGCAGTGGCCATGGAGGCTGCAGCTGATGGTGCACCATTCAGTAGCTCTGGTCAAGGTCTGGTCTCAGCTTTGACTCCGGTAGCAGTGGCATCTTTTGAAGGGACCAACTTGGTCCTATAGCACAAGTACTCTAGGGTGCAGCCCTTCCCTCAAGGCCAACTGCCTTCATCTGAGGGATGGGGTGTCGTGGGAGGCTATCCTGTCCTGAGGGTTGGCCTGGCAGAGATATGGGGGGCATTCTGTCCTTTTGAGGTCTACAATTCCTGGATTCCAAAGTCAATGCAGTTTTAAGGCATTGACTATCTCTGTACCTCTGAATTTGTAGTGACATGTGATTAACTATGTCTGGGTATGGAGGTGAGCTGCTGACACAAAGTAACACAATCACAAAATGAAGGCACAGGTACAAGGCTGTTGCCCAACTATCTATCTATCTATCTATCTATCTATCTATCTATCTATCTATCTATCTATTTATGTATTTACTTATTTATTTATTTATTTATTTATTTATTTTAGTTTTTCGAGACAGGGTTTCTCTGTATAGCTCTAGCTGTCCTGGAATTTACTCTGTAGACCAGGCTGGCCTCGAACTCAGAAATCTGCCTGCCTCTGCCTCCCAAGTGCTGAGATTAAAGGCGTGCACCACCACTGCCTGGCATCGCCCAACTTTCTTTGTGGGACAAAATGAGTTGGAGCCTTTTAGTAAAAGCAGCTTCTAAGACGCCTTTGGAAGATGTGAGGAGACAGATCTGTATAACTCCTATATGGGGCTTTAAGAATAAAGAAAACACCTTTCACTTGACAGCTATTTTATATTTCACTTGTGTGTTGGAACCCAGGGCCTGCACTCCCCTCTGGAGCTATGCCCTAGCTCTTTGGTTATGTACTGAACAGTTTTAAGATCTTATGCATTTGAGGGAGGTGGCTGCTTTCTCTGGTCAGGCATGGGTGGGTGCCTCTGAACCGAGTTTACTGGTTATGCAGGTTGTTCCCTCTCTGCAGGGTTTGTGGATATAGCTATGGTAGTCTTTCTGGGGTCCTTGAGAGAATATCTCTCCAGGTCTGGGAGACAAGGGTGATGGTCCTCAGGTCTCAGTAGCTTTTCATGAGGCCTTGCTGTGGGGGCAGAGGGGTGTGTGGCTCTACCGTAGCTGTGGTTGTAGCAAATCAATGCATTCTGGGGTTTTTAACCAGCCTCAGGAGCCCACCACCCATGGGGACAGGATGAACCTTCACCAGTCATTCATCATATGAGCCCTGCTTCCCTGGGAAGAACCAGAACTCTGGAACGTGGGCGGTGAGCATCACAGGCCAACTGGCAGTCTCCGTCCCTCCAGTGATCAGGGGGTGTGTGTTTTCTTCTCTCCTGGACTCTGAGATTGCTGTCACCCGTTGAGCACCTTCGTCCCATGTGCCAGACACTGCCAGCAGGCGCCTGCCTCACTGCTCTGTCCTTTGTTCTCCCTAGGCTGTTCTGTCCCCTCTTTGCAGGCCTGCATGCTGCAGGTTCATCTGGCCACAGTCCACCATGTCCCATGTCTCAGTTCCTCTTATTGCCTACGGGTGATTCGTTTCCCTGTCTCCCCGCCTGTGGATGCAATTCCTAATTTTCGTTCTATTCTTTGAAAGGTGCATGCCCCACCCAAGACCATGCACCTGGTCTTTCTGCAGGTGCTCATTCTTTCCCTCACTCCTGTGAACCATAAGTTCCTGGGAAGAAAGAAACTCCCTTCTCCCACGAAACCTTCTGCAAGGCTGATGGGAACTTCAAAGGTTGCAGAGAAGCTGAGATATTATAGGTCAAGAGCCTAATTACAATTTACCACGGGTTATCTTCAGCCTCTTTAATAGCCATTTCCTGCCTACCTTTGTGTCTGAACATTCTTGTGATTAATAGACAAAATCCCTTGAAATGTGTTAACCTCGCTGGGCAGTGGCTTCCACCAACCGAAAAGCTAAGCGTGTCATCAGATAGCATCTGAAATCTATAGCAGACTTCCTGAATTCACTTTAACGTGTTATATTGGTTACTTTTTCTTGCTGTGATAAAACACCATGACCAGGAGTGGCTTAGTCCATCCACAGTGACGTACTTCCTCCAGCAAGACTCCACTTCTGAGCTTCCCCAAACAGCGCCTCCAATCGAGGACCAGAGCCAATGGGGGACATTTCTTATACAAACCATTGTGCTTGTGTTCCTAATCTCTCCATCAATGTATTTGAGAAGCACCTTGATCCATGACTTTAATTCCATTACTGTAAAAACTTCATGAAACTTGGACATTGGGATGTGGAATCCTGAGTGCCCTGAATTCGTGTTCCCAGGTCATTCATATTTAGCTCCAGAATAAATGATCTCTTATCCCCTTTGAGGTGAGCGTTGTTTTTGGACACTCCCTCTTCCCGTCTTCCCTCTCTTCTTCACCGTGCCCATTCATCCCGTCACAGCCTCCTGCTTCTGTTCTCACACCTTCTCTCTCCCTGTACTCATTTATGTATTACCTTTCCCTCTGTCCCACCTCCCACTCAGTCCCTTTCTCCCTCTGTAGCCCCACGACACAGTATCCCTGGGGATCCTCTGGACATCATAGGAACATGCCCTTCTCACCTCATGGGCGGTGTAAGGGACAGCGGGCTACCCAGAGGACAAATAGTCTATCATATCCAATGGCATGGGGCAGTGAGAGAGAAAGCAGAAACAGGGTATGGGGAGGATGTCAATGATGGAGGTTGCAGCTTGGAAACCGCCCACAGTAGGGACCCCAAGAGGCCTGCAGAGTCCTTTGCAAATAGGAGAGACTTCACTTCTGACTTGGCAGGGACCTGAGGGAGCTGTGTTCCCTAGCTCTGATTTTGTCAGGTAGATACATGATGCATTTGTGTTCCTATCCCTGTTCCAGGTTCCATCAGATCATGTTTCCCCTTTTAGTGTTAGTGACTCTTTAACCAGATACCTAGGCATCTGTAGATGAAGTCATGCATGAAGTCCGCAGCCCAGGTGCTGGCATTTGGTCATAGTGAAAGGGGGCCAGTCTGATTCTGGTGACATTCTGAAAACATAGCTGTTTGGTCAGGAGATTGTGGGGAGCAAGGGGAGGTGCCTAGGATGCCAGCAACAGATGCTCTGGATCACCCACAGCCAGGGGACAGACATGAGTAAAGATGGGGCTTGGCCATGCTGGGCACACAACATAACTGCAAGCTGTTAAGGCTGCCTGAGCACTGGGGGAGGGGGAGGGTGTGTGTGTGGGGTTAAGCTCTAGCATGGCTTCCCCAAGAATGGATGAGAGAAGAGAAAATCCGTGTATCCAATTGACAATTGGCCCTGGAAGGGCTGCTGAGTCCTCGCCAGCTGACTGGCACATGACTTCACTGCTTCAAGTATAGGCCTGAAGTTCTCTTAGCAAGAGGGTTGATATACAGGACAAGAGGCCAGACAGACAGACACGGGGTTCTCCAAAAGCACGTGGTTTATTATGGTGAGCTGTAGTGCACATGGGCTTCTTTAGTAATTCTAAGCCGATACAGGTTCCCCACTAGGAGTATACATGGGGAGTGACTGGGCGCAGTGACAGTGACAAACCAGTGAGCCACCGTGATCCTTAGAAAGTTACATTAGCAATCAAGAAAGAAAGGGAAGTGTGAGGTGGCCCAGAGGCAGGATGTGAGCAGAGCACCCCCGCTGCTCTCATGGTGGTCTGCAGGACACCTAGAAGCTGAGGGGGCCGTGGTGGAGGGAGGCTGTTCCCCTATCTCTAAGGAACTGGGGCTTCATGGTTGAGATGCTCCACTACCTGCAGGTGGCACCTTTTCCTAAAAAGCTTTTCAGGCACCAAGTGCATGGCTGTTGTAGAAGGTTCTCTATTCTTGCAGGTTCTGGCTCCCCTCCTTCACCCAGGGAGGACCATCTGCAGTCTCTTGCTGGCTTCCACCTTCTTCAGGCCAAGCCATGTGTGTCCTAGCATTTTTTTTCCACACTCCAGCTCCTCTGCATCCTGGTGATGGGGGTGACTGTGACATCCTGCATGTCAGGCTTCCTCCAGTGCCAAGGATGGAGTCTGTACAAGGCTGTCCTAGCTCTCTACAGACAGAGCCCTGTGCTGGTCCTGATTTTGTCATTCAGGGACATGACTCTTGCAGGCTTCACAAGACAGTCTCAACTTCGGCTCATCCCACCCCTGTTTTTTTTTGTTTTTCTGTTTTTTTGTTTTTTTTTTTTAGTGTTAGTGATTCTTTAACCAGATACAAATGCATCTCTAAAGGATGTCATGCATGAAAACTGCCAGCCAGGGTGCTGGCATTTGGTTTGGAAAAGTGGCAATGTCAGCATGTGCTTTTGGGAGCAGCCTTGGGTGGCTCCTGGTAAGAGTCACAGATCTGAGCACAGTAGTCTGGAACGGGTTCCTTTGTTTGTTTGTTTTTAACTTAATGGAGAGCAGAAATACCCCATGCCTGTCTGCTGCTGTCCAGGGTTCCCTGAGCAGGAGGGAATGCTGGCTGCCCCTCCTCGTACACTCTGTCTATCTTTATTTTCTAAACAGAAGGCGAGCTAAGAGGGGTCTCTGGACAGCGCCTGGGCGCTTCCTTCCCTGCATGCCGTGCTTGGGCCCTGCTGAGGGGCACAATGACCTTATGACTTATGGCAGGTGGCCAGCCTCTGACTGCTATGCATGGTCAGGGCCACCAGACAGGGCAGAGGGCCCTCTCCAGGACCTAGAATAAACTCCAGAAAGGACACCTGGATTCCCCCTTCCTGGAGGCCCACCAGCCCCTTCCCAGGGTTCTATGTGTATTAACACGACTCCTGAGGTAACAGCAAGGCCCTCTGTAGGGAGGAAAGTGCTCCAAGAGAGCAGTGAGCCCCAGTTATTGCTGGCGCTAAGTGAGGCCTGGTATAGGCAGGCCTTCAGGCGGGCACCTGAGAGGACAGGGGGCTTGGATTTCACTGCTTCAGGGAAGCCTCTATGAGGCCTGGCTGGGCCATCCTGCTGCAGTCTGGAATGGGGAGCAGACAGCTGTGGTCCTTGTCTGCGGGTAGTCATTGAGTGCTCTGTGCTGCCCCTGGCAGGCAGCCAGCACCACGGCTCCATGGGAGTCTCTCCTGCCACCAGAGGTAGCTGTGCTACTGGCAAACAACTCCTAGTGGCTCTGGACAGAGGGAATGCCCAGGGCCCCAGTTCTCCACCCTGTGCCTTCTCTGCGAGGAGAGCCAGCCAGTCCTCAATTAGGAGGCTGGGTCCTTGGCAGACTGGCCCTGCGTGTGGGTACCAGTCCTTCCAAAGCTGCCCAGGCTTTACCCACCCACCCATATAATCTTTAATTTAGAATATACCATATATATTAAACAATTATCTTCAATGCCACCCTCCTCAGCATGGAGTACTTAGTGACCTGAGAAAAGGTGCCTCTCTGAATACATACAACATGCTGTGGGTAACAAAACTCCCAGCAGGGTGGGAGGGGGAAGTTGCGTGGGAGAGAAGAGCTATTCAGGGCCACCTTCCCTTCCCCCAGCCTGGCTTCCATCTGAAAAGTCGCTGACCAGGTCATAGGGTAGTTGCCCATTTTGAGGAAGTGCCTTGGAGAGGCACACATGAGCCTGCTAAGGAGCTAGCTCTGGGGATACAGGCCACCTTGTCACATGCCAGAGGATAGCCAGTCAGAGAGGACTTGGGACAGGAGGAAAGAGACCTCTGATTATTGCAGGCTGGGATATGGGACTGCCAGAGAGTCTCTGAATCCCATAGCAGCTGGGAGAGGTGGGCAGATGCTGCATTTTTTTTTAATTCAAAGGATATTTCCACTCAGTCTCTGTGAGGAAAGAATATTCTCTCTTTCATAAAGTGCCTACTCCTTAAGGTAGTGGATCAGCGGCCAGTAGCCATCTATACGACAAATTATCCCTTTTTTTTCCAAAGTAAATTGCACTGAGGGGGGTACTAGAGTTTTCTCCGAGTTGTGATTTTTTTTTTTTGAGCCAGCCAGCCAGCACTGCCCTTCCTCTGCCTGCCTCCCCCAGACCAGGAGCTGGTTGCCTGGCCAGAATGTTCAGGGTGGACACCCAGCTCCTGTCGCTGCTATCCTGTGAGACACCCATGTATTTATTTCATGGAGGACGGAGTTGGTCACTTCCGGAAGCTCTTTGTGGAGGACATGATAGGCACCTTCATACATCTGCAATCAGGAGAGACAGGGAGTCAGAACCAGTGTGGAGGACAGGCAGGGACAGGAGCTCACTAGACAGGCATCCCCAAATGTTCCCCTTACTTTTTAGATGGGATGTTGCCTTGTTGCTCAGGCTGTTCTAAGTCATCCTCCTGCCTCAGCTCCCTGGCAGCTCCTTTAGCCTGAGCAGCCTAGTAACCACAGCACACTACATGGCTGACCAGAATGCCCCTGCAACGAGCTTTCTTTCAGAACTGAGACCTACCCAGTTGCCAATTGCCTTAGGAGTTCTCTCTGATGTCTGCTGGGGTCACCCATCTCAGGGGGCACCACAGCCCCCTTGCTTTTACAAACCTCTGTGCCAGCCTTGTTCTCACATCAGCAATCTGTGCCAAGACCAAGAGCCTCCCCCCTTCCCTTGTTCTGGAATGTTCTACCACGACTAGTCTCCCTGACAGTTCTTGCCTGTCAGTTCAGGGGAGGAAAGTGCCCTCAAATCCCTCTGTCCTGCAGCTCCTGACTGCTATCCACATACATTCCGTGCATCCATTTTTCTCTTTGCTTATCTACTGGGGTGCAGGCTCCAGGGGAGGGACAGCCTTTGTCAGACTGTCCTCGGGACCTCCACAAAGTCAGACCCAAATAAACAGAAGTGATGGCTAACTGCTGACCAAGGCAGAGCTCCACCCCTGAGCAGCACCCCAGGGGAGCCCTTGACAATTTGCCTGGGTGGTACAGGGTTGGGAGAAAGTACAGACTTAAGTCCAAAGACCTCAGTTCAAATTCTGACTCTACCACTCTTCAAAGTCACCTGGCTGTCTTTATAACATCGTGAGGATGTACACCAGGTTATGTGGCACCCACACACTTGTCCAGGTTAGGAGCCTAACAGTGTGGGCAAGTAGGTGGGTATGCTTCATTTTAGGGTTACATGTTATCTGACTGGTGTCCAGCAGGGTCTCACCTCCTCAACTGGGGTGTCTCCTAGTTCTGTGGGACAAACAACATGTATATCTATCTGGAGCCCAAACAGCCGCTGTCTTGAAAGCCACTGAGTGATATTCTGACTGTTCCTTGTGTCAAACATGTACACCATCCAATTGTAGCCTGTCTTCAGGGGCCACAACCACAGGGCCAACCCCAGCAGATGCCCTTGCAGACCAGACTCATCCAAGAGCCCCAGAACCTGCGCTACAGGCTTTTTCCTTGCCCACACCATCAGATTATTCTCCTCCTTTGTTGAGGTTCATTCTGGTGAAGCAATGAACTGGGGAACCATATACTGTCACAAAGTTCATTTGTCTCTAACCCCTCAATGATCCTTCCCAGGCAGGCTGGTCTGACCCCCCCCCCACAACAATCCCACGACATGGCCTGCTATCCCTCACCTTGAGTGTTTTGTCCTGACTCCGGGATGATTCCATGAGCAGGTAGGCACCTTTGCTGTCGCAAAGCCGGTCAGCAGAACCCTGCAGCAGCAGGAATGGCAGTGTCAGCCTGGGCATTGCTCGCTCCACCCTCGAGACAGCGTTCAGCAGCTGTATGCCAAAGCATACCTTCACCCCTGCGTGGCAGATGAGTGGGTCGGAGTTGTACAGGTCAACCTGAGAGGAGGAGATTCTGTCAGTACATGGGCTCCTAAGAGGGTGGTCTTCTGCCTGCCCACAGGTTGTGGAGACTGGCAAAGTGTTCAGTCCCTGGAGAACACGGGTCTGACTCAACTGTGCTCTGCACTTTTGCACTAAGACCTGAGCTTGTCTCACACAGCCTGGACTCAACATACCCTGGGGAGCAGGTCCGGGACCCCAAGTTTGTGGTGCTCAGATACCTGATGTAGCTTGATATGTTGGTTGAATAGAAGCCCCCACAAACCCTTCCCTGTGCTTCAGTCATCTCTAGATGCTTATCAGATGTAGGCCAAGGTCACCGCAATAGAAATACTGGGCCTTGGACAACAGCTAAGAAATGGCTGTTTGGATTTTCCCACGTGGAGTCCAAGGATGTAGAGGGCTGGCTGTCTACATAAAGGTCTGTAGGAAATTTCCAATACTGAGTTGGATTTTATAAATACGAGCAGCGAAAGAGCCATGTGTGGTGGCACATGCTTATAACCTATGGAGGTCAAAGGAGAGGGAGCTTGAGTTCAAGGTCAGATTGACCTTGTTTCAAAAACTATATATAAAACAAAACAAAATACAGGAATGCCATGTTACTCCCTTGAGCTATTTGGTTCCAGAGCAGCTCTGAGGGTGTTGAGGTGTTACAGCTGGTTTCCTTCTCCTTCTCCTCCCATCCCCAACTCTGCCTCTGTGGGGTGACAGGGTGATGGACATGCAGAGAGCAGCCTGGAAAACACGGGCCAGAGCAGGATGCCCTCCTCCTCTACAAGTCTCTCAGCCTCCCAAGAATAGGTGTGAAGCGGTGGTACCCCTGGCTTACTTTTCTCCTTGCAGATAGACTCTGAACAGGTTTGGGACAACCAGATGACAGGACCAGGGTAAGGGGGACCAAGGGCTGTTGGGCCTGACACAGCAGAGGTCTCTGAGCCCGTACCTACAACCACTCACGTCTGCTACCACCCCTCCAAAGGCCTGGCCAGAGGGATGCAGGTGTCCTGCAGTCACCCCGACATCCTGGATTCCTTCCCATGCTGAGCAGGGACTGTGTCCCGTCAAGCTGACCATTTGTGATGAGCGGCACGGGACAGATTAGACACTTCTTGCAGCTGAGCTGGCGAGAGAGAACCCCACAGAGCCAGGCCATCTGTTTGGCAGGCTAAGAGAGGACTTGCATCTGACAGAGCAGCACAGGGGCAGTGTAGGGAGAGCTGGCCACGGACTCAGACCACCATAGGTTTCTTTCCACCATAAGGTTTCCAGGGAGCCCTACTTGGAGGAGAGTTATGGGACCACCGGAAGAGCCCTAGGCTTGGGGTTGGTCAAGTCTCCATGGCAACAGTGAGAGTGACAGCAACAGTTGTGCCACCCATCAGAAATGCACATGAGCATAACGTGGTGCTGGAGGTACCATTCAGGACCTCATTGTATAGCAGAACAGCTGCTATCTGAACTCCTGCTATTGGAGCAGTGCCCCACACGGAAGAAACTCTCCCACTACCCATATGATACAGAAGAGAAACTGAGGCACTGAGAAGTCTAGTGGCCCACAGGCGTTAGTACCTCAACTCCTGTTCTCCCTGTATAGCCCTTGGTATTAGGCAGGATACAGGACCTTCTAGACAAACAGTATCCATTTCAGCTTCTCTTGCAACTAGGTGTGGTCATGTGACTGGCCAATAAGAAGCTAATAAGGAAGCTGGCCATGTGCTTTAGGTCAAGGAGTGTGAGGCACTACTAGGCAAGGCTCCTTGCCCTGGGACCCCCTGACATGCTCAGCAATAGGAACGGTGCCTTGATTCTGAGAGGGCATGGGGCAAATGATGAAACCAGCTCCTGCCTACCACACTGCTGCCCATGGATCTGTTCCTACTGCATCTGTGCTCGTCTCCTCGAGGCTCTGGGGATGATGGCCTTTTGGGCTTCAGGCCACCTGCTGTACTAAGTCTGCTACTCTTTTCCTTTCAGAGGCCTCATCCCGCTCCCTTAGAATGTCCCAATGTGCTCGGTCCCTGAGGAGTCTACTCCAGGGGTTAATTGCTTCTTGGCCCCAGCCATTTCCTGCTCTTGTCTTCCTTTCTATTTCCTGGTCACATAGACTTTGTTTACACAAGGGTACTTTTCTGGGGAGGCAGCTCCAGTGTCAAGGAAAGGCAGATCACAGATAGAACTATAGCCAGGATGGGGGTTTGGGGGGCGTACAGAGGAAATGAAATCAGAGAGAGACAGGAGGCACGAGCCATGTGGGACATTGAGGGCAAGGCCCTGAATCCTATGGCCCACTCACTGCAGGCTTTCCTCTCTCTTTGTGGAAGTCAGGGCTGCAGTCATGTCTAGAAAGAGCTGCACTGAGTCAGCATGGCTAGAAGTTTGGAAATATTTCTGGTGTCAGGGCTAAGGTTGGGATTTAGCATGGGAGGGTAGTGACAGTAACTTTATAGGGTCAACACCTGGCTGCACATCGTCCCTTCCTGCTGTGAGATGGAGGGTGATAGGGACATGAAATGGCCGCTCCCCCCCACCCCCTTTCTCTCTCTGTCTCTCTCATGGTTTGAGAATGCTTGTCCCAGGGAGTGGCACTATTTGGAGGTGTGGCCTTGTTGGAGTAGATGTGATCCTGATGGAGGAAGTGTGTCACTGTGGGCATAGGCCTTAAGACCCTCATCCTAGCTGCCTGGAAGCCAGCCTTCTCCTGTTTGTCTTTGGATGGATGAATGTAGAACTCTCAACTCCTTCAGTCCCACATCTGCCTGGATGCTGCCATGATCCTGCCTAGATGATAATGGAATGAACCTCTAAACCTGTAAGCCAGCCCCAATTAAATGTTGACCTTTAAGAGTTGCCTTGGTCATAGTGTCTATTCACAGCAGTAAAACCCAAATTAAGGCTTCTCCCGCTCCACCTCTCTGACGTCTGACTCTCTTTCTCTGCTCTCTCTCTCTCTCTCTCTCTCTCTCTCTCTCTCTCTCTCTCTCTCTCTCTGTGTGTGTGTGTGTGTGTGTGTGTGTGTGTGTGTGTGTGTTGACAGCTACATTTTTGTTCCTAATGTGTTAACTTTGGCCCAGAGATGAACCTGGGCTCAAATCCTGACTTTACTAACTGTGCTGTTGGGTGAGTGATTTGCTTTCTTTTGACCCAAGCGTCCATAATTTCAAACGAGAGCTGACTTAAGGTTACAGGGAGGCAGAAGGGGCTTATGGTGTCCAGAAGGTATGGAAATAAGATTATAGCTTCAGGAAGCTCCGCAGAGAACAAGACTCAGGGGTGGCCATTGTAAAATTGGCAGGCGGTAGGCTGGAAGACTGCACCACAGTAAACCCAAGCAAATATCTGTTGTCATTTAAACAGGGAGCCACCTGCTCCCCAAGATCCCACCTTCTTTCTGGCCTTCCCACTGTGCTATTCCCTGGCACCTGGCTGCAAAGTCCTTTACTTCAGCCCTCCACCTACTGGCACTGGACAGTTAGTGGAGCATTGCTGCTTGGTCTTTTAGGCTTTTCTGGCTGTCATGCTTCATGGGAAATGTGTCATCTAAAGATGAGCCTGGAGACTCCTGCTGTGTGCCGCCCTGTGGTGCCTCTTCTCGCCATCTCCCTGGGGTGGGCGGAGTGGCTATTTTTAATGTTCAGCACAGGTTCAAAGGCAGCAGGGAAGCAGAGCCTCTACTGAAGAACGGGGGTGGCTCCGGCACCCACCTAAAGGCTGAGATCTCCATGTTGCCCAGCACCTCCAGTTCTATGTCTCCAGCAGGGAGATATCTTAAGCTCTCTAGGTGGTCCAAAGGACACAGGTGGTAGATGGTTGCTGTAGAGCCTGTGAGCTGTCTTTAAGCTGTCCCTCCATTGTCCAGAATACCTCAGAAGTGACTTGCTGTTTTTCAAGAGAGGGGCTAGGGTAATTCTGTTTTTCTTCCCTTCCCTCTGCCTTCTGTGTAGGAAGGTAGATAACCTGGTTGTTTGGTGCAGACTTTGAAGGCAAGTTCCTCTTTGTCCCTCTCTTTGATTGGGCTCAGTAGGCAGCCAGTGCCCACCCAAGCTGGACCCAGTGTTTGAGATGCAGGTCAAGGAGTTCCTGCCTCCAGGCAGTGGTGGCGCACGCCTTTAATCCCAGCACTTGGGAGGCAGAGGCAGGCAGATTTCTGAGTTCGAGGCCAGCCTGGTCTACCAAGTGAGTTCCAGGACAGCCAGGGCTACACAGAGAAATCCTGTCTTGAAAAAAACAAAAAACAAAAAACAAAAAACAAAAACAAAACAACAACAACAACAAAGGAGTTCTTGCCTCTCACCGAATTCCTCTCATAGAGCAGTTTCTATCACAGGGCAACAGTGTGGGCTGTATGGGCCAGTGGAGCAAATGGAACAAGTTTTGAGATTTATATAGAAGCTGGAAAGAGTCACCTGATCCAGGCACAGACTTCCTGAGCAGACAAATTCATCTCCCAGCTCTGCCCCTAACCTGCTCTGTGACATCAACTGTCTTTGGGCCTCAGCTTCCACACTTCGTCAGTGAGTCTAGTCTGTGCTTGCCTAGACCCACAGCTGACATCTACTGGCTGGCTTTGGCCTTTCTGGGTCTTTGTTCAAACTTTCAGAAAGACTAAAGGCCACATAAGCCCCCACCCCACTGTCAAATTTGGCCTCAGAATGTGAGTTTGAGAATCACTACAGGTTTCAGAATAGATCTGTGGGTCTGAGGCCATCAGATTTCCTAGAGGTCTGTCCATTCCTCATCTCCTCACTCCTCATCTTAATTTTTCCCCCTTGAGCTGGGATAGAACTAGGGCTTCTTGCAGCTCTACTCAGCCTCTTACCTGTCTCTTACACAGCTGGCCCATAGGCCCGCATGTGCCCTTGGGTGGAACCTGAACAGGAGGCTAGAGTCTGACTGCCAGGAAAGCAGGCTAGACCACTGGGCTGTCAGAGTCCCACCAGGGGGCAGGCAAACAGAGTCTTTGGGACCCTGTGATTCACTGCTTTCAAGCTTCCAAGGCAAGAAAGGAAACTGAGGCAGACAAAGGTGGCCCATCCCAGTAGCAAACCAATTTGCTTAGTTGTCAGGGTAATTCTGGCATCTTCCACATGTCCAGGGTTGTTTCTTCAAGACCTCAGGGTTTCAGGCTCACCCACCAGTGGGAACTCCCAGCAAGTTCTCAGACCAGGCAGTAGGAACTTAAGGTAGGTCTTCTCACTGTAGGGATAGCTTGAGAATCTATAACAGGGGTCTGTCTTTCCTGCTAACACAATCCTGATACCTGCCTTCCCTTTTCTCAGCCCAGAGTCTAAGTGGGGCTAGCTAGCCCTACCCACTTCCTGGACAGATCCTGGCTTTTCACACCTGACAACCACAGTCAGCCTGGAGCATCTAAAGGAGTAGCACTGTGTTTGCACATGTGTTGCTCAGGTGATGAAGATGCTGGCTTCTCTGCCTGTACTTGGACAGCCAAGCAAAGATTCCGGTTGGGGAGAGACACAGGGCAAGTTCTTACAGAGATTTTGATCCCTGATCCAACTGTGCCTGAAGCCTTTAGTTCCTGTTACTAAGAAATACCTTCTCGTGCTTACATCCCTTTATTTTTTATTCTTATGTGTATGTGTGCATGTGTGGAGGCCGGAAGAGGGTGTCAGATCCCCTAGAGTTGGAATTATAGGTAGTTGAGCCACCAATGTGGAGTCCTGAGAACCTAACTGGGATCTTCTACAAGAACAGGAATCTCTCATGATTGTTGGGCTATCCTTTGGAACCTTAAATCTCTCTGATTTGGGTTTCTGTCACTTAACCACACAGCATGTCCCTCATCAAACTCTTGGCTGTCTGGAGTGGAGCTCAGACTCTTGACCTTTCCCTAACCCCTAAGGAAAGGACAAAACTTCCCACCCCCCTGTATCCCCATCACCCAGCCACTCAAAGAAAGGGCAGAGCAGCATTGAACAAGGTCAGATCTCTTCACCTGCTTACCTTTCCCAAATACCCCATGTCCATTCACACTTACCTCTGCCTTGTTCCGAGACAGCACGCTGGAGTCGATGCGCCCCAAGGACATGTTTGGCAGGACAAAATTGAGCAGTTTGGCAGCAAGGACCTGAGCAGAGAGGCAAAATGAGAGACGTGAGTGCAAGCCATCCATACTGGGGCTACAGTACGAGCTGATACCCCACGCAGGATGCTGCTCAGCACAGGGCCTGCGTGTACGGCTGAAGTTCTCCTGATGGTGCCACCTGGATTCTGTGCAGATACAAGGACACATCAGATGTAACTGTGAATTACTTTTGAGAGTCACCGATAAGGCCATGTCCCTTCCCCAAGGCACCAAGATGGCCCAGCAGAGTCAGAATCATTGGATCAGTTGCCAGAGAGCAAGGAAACAAGGCAGCCTGGATCAGAGAGAATCACTTGCATGTTGAGTTCTGCCACACAGGTAAGAAACCATCACCAGCCTGTGTAGGAAGTCCTGTGATAGAGGGAAGGCGCCCCGTGTCTGATTCCCAGCTCTGTGAGCCAGGAACACAGGCTGGGACCTCAATACAGAGCTCTGTTGGCTCAGCTGCATATGGGGGCTCTGTCATCGCCCCAAACAGACCACAGGGAAGATTAGTGACATTGGAAAAGCCTAGCATACAGTACATGCTTACTGAATGTGAATCTGACTTGAGTCTTAGCCCAGCCCCCTATGTGGATCTCAAATATCCCCAGGAAGGCAGAAGACCCAATCTTGCACGTCTGCCTTCTGAGAGAGGCTGTTTAATTTCACGTCTGCAGACACTTGGGGCGAAAGAAGCTATTTCAAAAGTGAGCTGTGAAATGCTGGAATTAGAACCATGGGTGCTGGCAAGGGGTGAGTTCTTAGGGAGTATGGGGGGCACTCGGCAGAAACATGGGTCCCTTGATGGTGGATAGCTGCTTGTGGCACAGGGTCCTCTGTGCTAGGTGGGTCTCTGTAGGTGGGCCCGTGTGCTGGGTGGCCCTGCCTCTTGATGTTTACTAGATCCTGTGAGTAGGGCTTAACTTTCACCTAGCATTTGGAAACATGTTTATGGGGACCTTGGGATGATGGGACAATGGAAGCCTGGCCTCCCTGTGGTCAGTAGGGCTGGGTGAAGACACATCTGTCCATTTTGTCATGTGTCCCACCCTTCCTATGCTGATCTCTCTCTATGTTAGTACCCGAGGGCTCTAGTTCTCCCTTCTGACCACTGCCATTCTCCAGATGATGCTGTAGCCAGGCCTCCTCCAGGATCCTGTAGCCAACCTGCCTCTCTGTTCTCAGTCAGCTGCCAAGGACCAGGCAGAGTAAGGCCTGCTGTGCCCCTAAAGAACATTGTGTTGGAATGTACTCTGAGCACGATAGTGTCTGTATGTGCTATAGAGGTGACTGTGTGTACTAAAGAAGTGACTTTTTTGAGCTACAGAGGTGATGCTGTGTGTGCTAGGGAGGTGACTGTTTTGTTTGGGACGTGACTGTGTGACAGGGAGGTGACTGTGTGTGGTAGGGTGGTAAATCTGTGTGCTATGGAGGTGACGGTGTTGCTAGGGAGGAGACTGTGTGCTAATGGTGGGGAATGACTGTTTGCTCGGGAGGAGACTGTGTGTGCTACAGAAGTGAATGGGTGTGGTACAAAGGTGACTGTGTCAGAAGGCACAGTCAACAACTCCTACCTCTGAGAACATCAGGGCCTGTTGCGCTCTGGATGCTCTTTGTCATCCAGGCAAACAAAGCTCACTGGTGTTGGCGGCGGCGGCGGCGGCTGCTGGTGCTGCTGCTACTGTGTCATAGTGCCAGAGCCATGTAGGCTCCAGCCCTGGACAGTCCATCCAAGGATTCCATCTGATCACCCTGGGTGGGGTGCCAACAGCTTGCATTCTGTGAAGCTACTTGGGTTGGATGAGGTGTGTGTGTGTGTGTATGTGTGTGTGTAAGAGCTGGGTTTTATGTGGCAGTGGGAAGGGCTTGGAATCTGGGCATGCTGACAAACACTCAGAAGAAGTATCTGTAAAAACCAAGAAGTTGCCGGGGGGTGGGGGCTTCTTGCGAGACCAAGTTCTGGAGTTGGAAGCTTGTGCTTTCAAATGTTACAAAATCTAAGGATGAACTGAAAACAGCCAGTTACGTGCAAGAAAGCTGTGGGCTGCAGCCCTATGGCCATCATTGGACCTAAACTACAGCAATGGGGTTGTCCAGGGCCACAGCCTCCCTGGACACTGTGAGGAGATCTCCACACTACCATGCTATGGGGAAACTGCTATGGGGAAATCTTCACACTAACATGAAGTGTCATGGAACTGACTTCCAGAGCCTCCACTGATCTCTGCAATTTCTGCCCCAGCTCCCCGAATCCATGTGAGGGTTGAAGGTTGGCCCACTCTATCCCTGATAATCTCAGAGGCTGCAGCAAAGTCCCAGGCAACAGGACGGGCATGTTTATGTCACTGTCCCAGGCACTGTCACCTTCTGCTAGATCTAGCTAATTTTCTGCCCAGCCTCAATGTCACAGCCACAGGCTAGGGAACAGCTGGCTACCCACTGCAAAACCCTCCCCGCAGAATGACTGATCAACTGATAGTTAGTTCGGGCATCCACTGGGTCGCCATAGTGAGCACTTGTGGACACTGTGGTTTACTGTTTATGGTACAAACTGGGGCTCCTAGCAGCATTCATAGGGAGCCAGTAAGATAGGATGGGTGAGGAGGGACAGTAAGGCAGGGGACGGGAACTGCCTCAGCACTGGGCCTGCAACTGACAAAGTCTGCAGAGTGACTTTTCCATTTCAACAGGTCCACAGCCAGATCTCGCTCTTGCCCTGTGTCACCTGATTCTACGTGGCCCTGGCACAGAGGTGCAGTATAGTTCAGGACTGCTCACTGCACAGAGGCATGCCAACCTGCTGCTGGCCCGCTCCAAGCCAAAGCTGTGATGCCCCGAGGTGCTGAGGCCTCCACTCCTCCTCATAAGCTCTCTAGTAGACACTGGGGTTCAGGATGAAAACAAGGGCTGAGATGTCTGCAGCCATTTCCAGTTCCACAGAGGGCTGTGGGGGAGGGGCTCTGGTGCCGGGACAGCTGCCCACAGGGGAGAAGTACTGTGAAGACAACTCCATCCTCTTGCCAACCAGCAGTCTTCGGCCTCCACTAAGGAGGAATACTTGGGCAGCTAAAGGAAGCTTTCAAACAAAACTGGGGGTTGAGGGAGAGGTCACTACTCCCTGAGATGTGTTGCTTTACAAAACAGGCTGTTCCCTCACAGAAATGAACAATGGGCTGTGACCTCAACCTCCCTTCCCAATATAGAGGCAATGTCCTGGCGGCCACTTTCTATCTCCAGCAGCCTAAAGCCCAGTGGGAGGTGTGGTGGGAACACACTGGGCCTTAGCCCTGATGGGGGAGGTGATGCCATAGTGGCCATGCTCAAACACAGTCACTCCTGTCCCCACCCCCGGAGTTACTGTGCTAGCCCACAGGAAGGGGGTGGCGGTGTACTGCTAAGCATCAGCTCGTAACAATGAATGTCCAGTGCTGGCTGTGTAGATGAAGATGCTGGTGTCCTAGCAACAGGACTGGCTGCCCACTCACAGACATGGATAAGGGCCATTGCCTGCAGGGATGCAGCCTTTTGTCAGGGTCTGCCCCACAGGATGCCACCCAGAAAAAAAAGGGGGTCTCAGTACATTGGTGGCTGTGGGGGATCTGGGGACAAGCCAACCCTAGAAAGAGACTGGGGATGCTCAGGGCAGATGTCCCATTCCTCAACAAGCAGGGAAGGGGAAACTATTAAAGAAGGGTTCATGTGTGCAGTGATGTGATAGGGTTAGCTGTCAGTTTGACAGAGTCTGGAATGACCTGTGAGATGGGCCCCTGGGAGTGTCTGATAGGGATTGTCTTGGTCCTTATAACTGAGGAGGGAAGACCTGTCTACTATGGGACCATTCCCTTTCTGGCATCCTGGACTGATTAAAGTAGAGACACAGAGCTGAACACTATGAACACTTGCAAGCAAGTGTTCACTGGGTACTCTCTGTCTTGGCTGCAGATACAATGTAACCAGCTCCTGCTGTTTTGTCTTTACCACCACAGTGGACTATAACCTGGAATTGAGAGCTAAATAAAGCCTTTTTCCTTAAGTTGCTTTTGTCAGGATATGTTATCACAGCAAGAGGAAAAGAAACCAAGGTGGGTGAGGTCTGAGCACCTGGCAGCCCACTGTCCCCAGATACCCAGGCCATTTCAAGAGCTTTGACCTCCCTGGCCTGAGTCACAGACATGGATGAGGGCTACTGCCTCACCTGAAAAGCTCCTCACTGACCCCAGTGTGCAGGCAGAGTAGGAATCCTATTTTAACCCCAGCTGCTGGATGGGCTCAGATGCTTGCCCAGCTATGGCCACCAGCTTCCTAAACCTGCATAGTAACTTTTAAGTAACATTTCTAACAGGACTCAGAGGAGAGGTCAACTTCAGACAACAGCAGCCTCATGGCTTAAAGAGATATAGGTCCTTTAGTAGCTACTTCCCCTAACAAATCAAGGCAGGTAGAAGGCTGTTCCTGAGACACAGGGCATCAAGCATCTGCAAGAGGTCCTTCCCTACCATTCTTTTAAGGCTGGACGATTGCATGAGGCAGGGATGGAGTGTGGAAGGACGGTGATTGGATGAAGGGCAGGAGGGCTGAGCAGGAAACAAGAACCGAATAATAGGCATAGAGAAAGAAGTCACTACAGCAGATCCCACATCTGGAGGTCAAAGTTGCCAGACAGTTCCTAGAAGCAGCTGTGATCATACCCCTAAGCCTTGGCCACAGTAGCAGGCCACACCGCTACAGTGTGTCAGCACGCACCCCTGATTCTCCCAGGAGACAGAAGGTGGGGTCGTGCTCACCCACAGGTAGAAAGCATATGGGATCCAAGCCATTGACACTTCCGTCGCCTTCTCAAGATAGGTCTTCTGGATGTTCAAGTTGTCCTGCAGGGTGTGGAGACAGTGTGGGCGCAGCTCAGGAAGAGGGAGACTGCGAGCTGCCCACCTTCCCCAACAGGCAAGTCAGACCCAACTTGTTCACAACTGGGTGTTAACTCTGGGTCTGAACCCTTGAGAAAGTCTCTTTGTAACAACTCTTCTTAGCATATATTTGCATGTGGTCATTATACAAACGTCTTGGGTTTTACAGACATTTCTTTCAAGTTTACCCTGTTCTTCACTCCTGCTCCCCATTCCCCTTTCTTGCTCAGCTTATTCCTTTTCTCAGTTAGTGCCCTTTCTACTTTCACACTGTGTATCTCTGCATATACATGCGTGCATGGCTGTGCATGCATGCCTGTGCACATGTGTGCATACAAATGTGCAAATATGTGAGTGTGTGTGTGCATATGTACCTGTTATAAAGATGTGTACATGAGTATGTATATGTATGTGTGAATCTCTCTCTCTCTCTCTCTCTCTCTCTCTCTCTCTGTGTGTGTGTGTGTGTGTGTGTGTGTGTGTGTGTGTGTGTGTGTATGGTTGTATGTGTGTGTTATGCAGATCTCATATATGAGAGGAAATATGGCATCTGTCTTTCTGGGTTTACTTCATTTCACATAATGATTTCAAGTTCCACTCATTTTCCAGCAAGTGACATCATTTTGTTCTTTGTGGCTGAGTAAGAAAGACTTCATTGTGTGAACACACCGTATTTCCTTGATCCAGTCATCTGTTGATGGCAACTTAGCTGGTTCCGGATCCTGGCCACTGTGATACCTACAGTGGTGAACCTGGGTCTGCAGATGTCTCTGTGGTAAGCTGACTTAGATTCCCCTGGGTAAGTTCCCAGAAGTGGTGATGCCTGCATCACATGGTAACCTGTTTCTTCATTTTTTTTTTTTCAAGTGGAGAAAATAAAGTCTCCCTCAAAGATTCCTGGCATGTTTCCCAAGACTGCTCCTACAGAACTTGATGTTTGGTCCTTGCTGGTCAACTGAATGAGAAGCAAACAGCACTCCTAGTAGAGAAGTGTTCGGCCTGCAACTTTTCTGTTGCTTTTGAGACAGAACTCACATGGTAGCTCAGGCTAGCCTTGAACTTACCACCTGCTGTCTCCATTTTCAGAGAACTGGGATGGCAGGTAGCGCTCCCATGACTGGATCTGTGGCTGAAGCTTTGCGACCCGTGATGTAGCCCTATACACATGAGTACTTCTCCCCTGACTGGCTGCTATCCTCATGAGCAAGGACTGAAGGAGGGGTGTGTCCTGAATCCCTGTCACACCCTGGGGACAGTTCTGAATCAACTGCAGTGCCCATCACTGTAAATAGTAGAGACATGCATAAATGTCTTTATTGATCTGAAAGATCTTAATAGCTCTTCCGATCATTTTTAAGCTTCGGCCAGAAGAACTTGCTGTGAGAGGTAATTACTGTCCCCTCATTCTAACGCAGTTCGGGAAAGCTTTCCTGCATTCAGGAGGCCACGGGATGGCCACATCTGTGATCTGGCAAGGTTCTCTAGGGTAACTAGATTGTTCTGGGCAGGAATGCAGCCTGCCCAGTTGTGCAATAGAATGCCTTGTGCCTTTTCAGTGGTTCAGAGCATGCTCTGATGACTCTGGGGTAGAAAGCTTGGTTTTCAAGTTCAGATTCTCGAAATCTGAACCCTAACTCTCTGAAAACAGGTGCCTGCAGGGCTGAGGGAGTCACACTTATGGTGGCTGACCCACTGGCCTATGCAGGGCCACTCTCATTGGCAGCACCCCACTCCATATCCCTTCCAGCCCACTGGGGTCCCCTGACATTGAAGTGTTCAGATGGGAAGTAGGCTCTGGTCACAGGAAGCTGACCTCGGGCATGCTTTAGGGTGAAAGGGGTTCAGTGGCTCAGGCAGTAATCAAACTGACCTTGAGGAAAACAATGGCCTCATTTCCTGCCCTTCTAATTGGGAGTCACTTCCTTTCCTTGCAGGTGTCATGGGAGGAAACAGTGGTGTCTGTGAGACAGGTCTCCTGGAGCTAGCCCCTCTCCATACATTGGCTGAGGCCACGAAGAGCTATCCTGGCAGCCCAGCCCAGCCTGGCCTGGAAGTTTTGCCTTCTTAGGGTTCCTAGAAAAAGAAATGATCCCAGAAGACAGGGGAGACTGTCAGAAGAGGCAGCTTAGGCTGATGAGCAGCTGAGGCTTCTTGTCCTCTGCAATTTTGGTCTCTAAATTTCTGCTGTTGTGTTTTTCCCTGTGAAACCACTTCCTCAGCAGAGAGTGCTGGGCATTGCTGTCTTTGTCCTCGGTCTCTTCCCTGGGCTAAATATATCTCCGCTTGTCTGAACAGAGCCTCAGTGTAAAAATGCAGACAGTGCTGAGCTCTTGGTGCCTGAACATCCTCCCATCCCAGGGCCAAGTGGTCACCTTCACACACCCATATGCACATGAAGACTGACTACTACCTGGGGACCAGCTGAGGCTTGGGTACTGGCTGGAGGATGCTGTCTGAGGGCACCAGGATTCCCCTTCCTGGGTTGGCTTCCACCGTGTGGGTCCCACACTCACGCACTGGAGGCCAGTGCCCACCACTAATCAGCATGCCAGCCCCATTAAATGATCTCAGGGATCCATGTGACTCTGGGACCATTCACAGGACATCATGGGGTGGAGGGTTCTCCTCCACTCTATCCTTCAACTCAAAGCCTCCACCCCTCAGAGTCCCCTCCTGTGAACCCCGCCTCCACTTCATTTCCCAGAGCACAGGAAGGAAAACAGCAACAAGCAGCCAGTTCACCAGTGAGGCTCACAGGAGCAGGCAACTGGACACGAGCTCCAGCTTGCTCTTTCAGGAGTTCGAAACCAGGATCTGCTCTTTCGGGAGTTCTAAACCAGGGTCTGTCCTCGGTGGGAGGCGCTGTTTAAGAGTCTGATGGGGGGAAAGACCACTAAGATGTTCAATAAAAACAACAAAATAAAACCAGACCCCTCAAAGAACAAGCAGATTAACCAAAGGAACATGTAATATTATCCCCTAATATATGTGGAACAAGTCCCCATCTGCAGAAAGAACAAACGGTGCTTGTGCATGCCAACTGTATCCTGTAAGCCATCTCTGGCAGGATGGCTGCTGACTGGCTACCCCCAGGCAGGAGTGCCTTCATATCCTTTTCTATCTTTTGACATTTGAACTCTATGAATTATTCTCCAATATTTAAAATTACTCTGGGGAAAAAAAAAAGATGTGATGATCCTCTCTTGGGGAGCCTGTCTGAAGACTAGGCCACCTGTGCAGAGCAGCCACAGGCCTCTGGCAGGTGAACCAAGGAGTCATACTCTGTGCCAGTCAAAGACAACACAGGCTGAAGCCTGGAGGCAGCAACAGACATGGGGTAGGGATGGCCCTCGCCAGACCAAGGGAAATCTAATTTGTCTTGGTTAATCAGACGAGACCTGTGTCCCCCTAGAGACCTCTGCTTCTGATTTGACAAGGTGATCTATTAGTACCAGGCCTGAAAGGTCACTGGCCCAGAAGTGTGGCCACTGCTGGTCCTAGATGCAGCCCCGTGGGACCCTAGGAGGAAACCTTGGCAGCTTGCCTCTGGGCCCAGCTGCTATGGTGCACTTTATCTGAAAGGCTCTGTGAATTTTCTTTAAGGGGAAGGCATCCATTTTCTTCTCTGTGAGGGGCAGTCCCACTGGGGCTCACATCCACCATGCTAGGGCTAATATTGGCCAAATTTCCCTCTTCTCAAACCTCAGTGTCCCCAACCCCAGCATACCAGTCTTGCCTCTTCTTTAGTCTGGGACTGTGTGGTAAGCAAAGCTCCTACTTGGCTACTCCTGACACAGTTGTGGACTCCTCGATGCTCTGGCCACAAGTCTCCAGAATGAAGCCATTAGACCATGGTAGAGCTGTCCCCTCTAACCTCTGTCTCACTTGCTCGATTTGTAAAAGAGCCTGAACTAACTTGGCCGTGCCACACAGAATCCAGTCACCAGGGCAGATGCAGAGATGGCCACATCCTTCGTGCCTTTCCATGATGCCAGTGTACTCAAGTGTCTTACGTGCTGCCTGGGAACCACAGACCAATACCAGGTTCCATTGAGTGGGTACTGAGAAACGGGGGCCTAAGAGGCCACGCTGGTATTTAAACAACCCTTGTCCTCATTTGGTGGTGAGACTATAGGCTGCCTGGTGCACCTAGACCCAGGACACACCACCTAACCCTGATTCCACTCTAAGCATCCTAAGAGCTGGCTCAGGCCACAGTAGTCTCTGCCAGAGTGGGGACACTCCTTGTGGCACACAGGATTGTTACTCCACTCCCTCTGGGATTCTCCTGCCTCCTGAGGATAGATCTATACTGAGGACACGCCCATAGTCCCTCTGGGTTACTGGCCTTGGCATCTTTTTTAGGGTAGAGGCAGATACAGTTCTGGGTGCCTCGCTGCCTTGTTCACCCTGTCAAAGGGAGTCAAAGCTCTGGCATCAAGAGCAGACAATGATCACACAGTGCATTATTACCCATAATGCAAGACAGTGCATCTGACAGTCGAGGCTGGGAGAGCTCAGGGGTGGAATGGAGCCGCTGGGAACAGGGTCCTCAGCTGCAGCTCCTCTCCAAGTTCGCTTTCTGCTGAGGCGGGCAAACATTCTGTGACAGCAGCTCATGCATGGGACTTGTCAGCAGTGACTTTGCCAGCTAGAGAATGCCTGTAACCTTTCCTCCCCCTGACTTTGGCCAGTTCAACATGTACAAACAAACAGGAAGGCCTTGTTTCTTTGTGTTTTGGGCAAAGAAACACCTGAGTTCACAATTTAGAGCCCTGATGACTGTCTGACGTCAAACCTTTACACAAGAGTGTCTAAAGTTCACGAACGACAATAGACCCTTTGACACAGCAGATTCCAGCTGTAAAGGAAGGTAGCCTGTTCCGGAAGCTTCGTGGTCTATACAGACTGCAGCACTCTCTTACCTTCAAAGTTGACGCAGATTCCGGATTGGCAAGAACCAGGGGCGAAATCAGGACCATGCCAGAAAAGTAGGTTGGTCTCTCTGCAGCCACTAGGATGGAGATGGCACCGCCCTGTGAGGTAAAATAAACAGAGTGGGACCAGCCTCTAACCAGCATGACCCGATCGATCCCCTTGCCTGTTTCCATGCTGGTCAAGGGCCCAAGTGGGGGCCTGGATCAGACTCCATCCACTGGCAGATCGTGTCTTCTCTGCTTCCTGTTTCTCCTCTCTTCCCCTCCCCCCTTCTCTTTATCTCTCTCTACTCTCTCATCCCCTTCTCCCTCTCCTTTCTTCTCTCTCCCTCTCTCTTCCCCTTCCTCCGCTTTTAAAAACTCTTTTGAGATAGAGTATCATTCTATAGTCCAGGATGGCCAGAGATTCACAGCAGAGCCAGGCAGTGTGGAGGTGCACTGCAGAGTAGTCTTGGGCCTAAGCAGTTCTCAGACCTCAGCTAGCTTTCCTGCTGGAAGGAATGGCCTGGGGGCTGCCAGGGGCGGGGTCATCTGAGACTAAACTTGGTTGGTTCTTGGCATTCAGAGATCTCAAATTGCTTTCAGGATGGTTCAAGAGATTCTGCCACTCATGGCCATCCCTCCAGCCCTGAGCTTAAGGACCTAGTTCAACTCCTACATGCTGGTAACTCCGCAGACAGGGTGTCTGTGTGTGAAAAGGGTGTTTTACCCAGGTGGAGGGCAGGGGGTAGAGGGCGAAGGGTGGAGTAGGGAGGGCCAGGAAGTCAGGTGACCTCCTGGGGACTAGGCTTGCTTTGAACTTTTCTCTGTGCCCTGCTTACCATGGAGTGGCCCAGGAGGAAGACGGGGACCTCTGGGTAGTCCTTCTGGATGGTGTCTACGTGCTGCAGCACATCTCTGACAAAAACTTGGAAGTCCGATACCACCATCCTCTCTCCCTCGCTCTGTCCATGGCCAACTGGAAATGGGAAAAGAGTTTTAGTGTCGCCCCAGCCGCATGTACATCATATTTAACCCTGTCCAACCGTTACTCCTGAACGGCAAACACTTCAAGCACAGAGAGCTCAAGCAACTTGCCTCATGGTTCACAGCTAGGAGCACCAGCCAACACCCTTCCTTGGAGATACTTTTCCAAGGGAGAAGGAAGGGAGTGGGAGGCACACAGTAAGCCTTAATGAGGTTCAGCTATCTTCCTGGGGTCCCCAGCTCCTTGCCCCTTCCAGTTGTGCCTGCCTCACTGGTGGCCTTTGACCAGGTATGTTCTGCCTCCTCTCTGCAGGATTAGGAGGAGATCACACATCAACTCAAACAAGATGGTCCAGGGTGCTTGACAAGATTTCAACAAAGCAACAATAAAAACCAGGCCCCACGCTGTCCCTCTCAGGTTTGTCAACTGGCTACCTATCTATGCTGCTCACTTCCCCTCCCTCTGCTTAGGGTCTCTCCACCTTTTCCCTTTGTGAAGGGCATCAGTTGCTATAGAAACGGTGGCTGCTGGCAGCTGGGAGGAAAGTTTGGAAACTGTAAGATGGACCAGCTTCCAGAGAAGGCCCCAGCACAGGAGGCCATGGATGCACCAGGCTGCCAGGAGCTGGCAGTGTTGCCTACAGATCCTGGGCCACTGCTTCAAAGGGACTTTGCAACAATGAGGCAGAACCACTCAGCACAACTGGGAGGGGCTACCAAGCTTAGAACCAACCAGCTGTCTGGACTCAAACTCAGAGACCCTGCTGTGGTCAGACACACTTGTCACCGTTGTGTCTATTCTCCAAACCACCTGCTTTTTCTGTCAGTGTGCCTGGACAGCAGTTTTACCATCTTCAGAGCAAAGCTTCCGAGTCTCATGCTTGTCCAGGGATCCCCACTTTTAAAAATCTATTACATTTGTGGTCAGTGTGTGTCATGGAAATGAACCACACCAACCATTTCTACCCAGCTCCGTGGCACTGACGATGCTCACAGCGTGCTGAGTCTACCAGCTATCACCAGGCCATTGCCATCTTCCCAGCAGCCTTTGTGTGGCCTCCACTGTGCCTTCCTCCCCTAGCGCTACGAGCAGTCCTGTGTTTGCAGATGGGGACTTTAAAAGGTGACCAAGTTAAAATGGTATGACTGATGTCCTCATGGAAACAGAGAATTTGGATGTCGAAACACAGAGGGACAATCATGTCATAGGTACACAAAGAGGTGGCACCTACAAGCTGAGGAGAAAGACCCAAGGGGAGCCTCTTCACCTTCAACTTCCAGTGACATGGAAAAAGACATGGTTGTTATTTTTATAAAAAATTTATTTTAAAATTATTTTTTTATTATTTGATTATTATATATATTTATCAAATATATAATTTACTTGATTATTATAGTATGTATTTATCACTATGTGTGTGGTGGGGTGGGGTTCATTTGCATGCAGGTGACCTCGGAGTTCAAAAGAGGGCATCAGATCCCCCCTGGAGTTGCAGTTAAAGGCTGTCTAAAATGGGTGCTGGAAACTAAACCTAGGTCTTCTGCAGGAGCAGCGGTGCTCCCAATCATTGAGCAGCAGTGCTCCCTCCTGCCCTGACCCCCAAGCAGCTGGAGATCGAGGCATACATCTCCAAGTCCAGTCATTTCTGTGTCTTCCTTAGCTAATGCACTTCATTCATTCACACACATTTTGTTTGTTTTGTCTTTTGAGACAGGGTTTCTCTGGAGTCCTGGCTGACCTGGATCTTGCTCTGTAGACCAGGCTGGGCTCGAACTCGAGATCTGCCTGCCTCTGCCTCTCATGCTGAGAGTGCAGGCACAAGGTGTGCAGCACCACCGCCCGATTCACACATTCATTGTTAAGGGAAGCAGTCACTCTTCAAGAGATCAGTCTCTTGATTCACAAATCAAGGTGACACAAAGTTGTGCACGTGGAGCAGTGTTTCTCTCAGGTCCACCATCCTCTGCCCATGCACCCAACTTTCCCCAAAGGTTAGCACTTCTGCCTCTTTGCAACCTTAGGCAGATGTGAGCCTGGTTTACACATGAGGAATCCACCCGCATCTCTGGAAGAAAGTCAGCCTTGAGATCAAGCCCCCTACCCAAGCTTTTCCTCACCTTTCTTTCTCTCTTTCTTTCTTTCTTTCTTTCTTTCTTTCTTTCTTTCTTTCTTTCTTTCTTTCTTTCCTTTGTCAGAAAATTTTCAAGTGTGTAAAAGCTTTGTAGAAATGTGGAGATTTATGGGAATATTATCCATAAATCTCCACATTCCTACAATCTTTACCCCAAAGCTGTTGCCATTTTACCTCCTGTCTGTACACATGCTACAGTCAACACTAATGTCACAATTTACCATCACTTTAAAGATGAGCTTCCGGAGTGGCGGGGGCCGGGGCATTGACTTGGCTACATTACTTGAGTCAGGAAGACCCATCTTAACTGTGGATGAGGCTCCCTAGGCTTGGGATCCTGGACTGTATAAAATGGAGAAAGCAAGCCACGCTGCGGATGGGCAAGTCCATCGCTCTCAGCTCCTGGCTGCAGATGCGATGTGGCCAGCTGCTCCAGCTGCTTACTTCCCTGTCTCTCTCACCATAAAGAACTGTTGGGACTGTGAGCCCCCCCAAAACCTTTCCTCCTTAAGGGTGTGTGTGTGTGTGTGTGTGTTGTCGTAGCAACAGGAAATGAAGCTAAGGCAAAAACCTTATAAACGAAGAACAGACGAATCATTCAGAAGTAAGCTACAGATTTTAAGAGCTGGGAAGTCCGGACACTGACAACACCCTTGACCTCCGGATGTGCCTCCAGGCTTCAGCTTTTTCATCTTCACCCACTTGGGTTGGTATTCGTCTAGGACTAAATCAACCAGTTCGGCAGCATTTGCCACCAAAAACAATGTCGTTCACAGTACGATCAACAGCTCAGCTCCAACCCCCAGTCCCCTGTCATCCTGGCAGAAGGTATGAGAGAGACTTCTCTCACTTCCTAAATTATGACGTCACCCTGGTATTGGAGTTCCTGTTCCATTTGAGTCTGACCTATTTGTGGGTTTTGTTTATTTGTTCTCAGGGTTGAGAGCTGAGCCTGGAAGAGCCTTGCTCATGCTGAGCAAATGCTCTCCCATGGGCCCACACCCCAATGCCACACTTATTTAAAAAAATGTAATCTCTTTTAAAATTATGTGTATGTGGGGGTATGTGGGATATATGCACGTACATGTGGGTGCATACAGAAGAGTACTGTTTTTCAACCTGAGGGCCATGACCCTTTGGGGAGGTCAAACAGCCCCTTCACAGGATTGCATATCAAATATCCTGAATATGATCAACAATCCTGCATACATTATGATTCATAAGAGTAGCAAAATTACAGTTGTAAAATAGCAATGAAAATAAACTCACGGTTGGCAGTCAGTCACCACAATAAGATGAATTGTGCTAAAGGGTCAAAGCATTGGGAAGGCTGAAAACCACTGGGTTAGAGGCACTGGATCCCCTGGAACTGGGGTTACGAGCAGTTGTGAGCTGTCTGACATAAGTGCTGGGAACTGAAGCCAGGTCCTCTATAAGAGTAGCACGTACCCTAAACCACTGAGTCATCTCTTCAGCCACTCCCCTCTTAAATATTTTTAAGCATTTAGAATTATTATTAATTTTGTATACAGGAATATCTGCCTGCATATATGTCTGTGTACCAAGAAAGTGCCTGGTTCCGGTGGAGGCCAGAGGAGGGTATCAGATTTCCTGGAACTGTGGTTACAGATGGTTGTGAGCCATGATGTGGGTTTGGGGAACAGAATTGAGGTCCTCAGGCTGAGTAGCCAGTGTTCTTAACTCCACATTCTTCCCAATTCCTTGAAATTATTTTTAAGGCAATCCTCACAAAGATGCCCAGGCTGGCTTTGAACTCATTCTGTAACCTCTGCTGGCCTTGAACTCAACTCTGTTGCCCAGCCTCACTCTGAACTCAGTCCTCCTGTTTTAATATCCCCAGTAGTTGGGACTGCAAGCTGGCACCAACACACTTAGTGTGTACACTCCTGGATTTCACGAGCTACTCTATCACTGAACATTAACATCTCTCTGCCCTCTGCCCAGCAGAGCTCATACCCCATGATCCCTCTAACCATCTAGTCTCCAAACAAGGCTGGCTTCCCTCCATCCCACCACCCCCACCCTTTGGTTACTACATTCCAGTCTCCCAAGTCAGCCTCCATGTGACTTGCAGGTTTGAGACCTCCGATGTGTTCCTTGTTCTAAGTTACCTGTGCCTGTCCCTCCTTTTCTTGAGCAGCTTCAAAGTGGGGGCTCCTGTGCTCTCGTGTCTCCCTTTATTTCAGAACACAATCCTTAGGTCCCAGCCCAGCATTCTTGACTCTGCTGAAGGCTCCCACTTGGCCCTGTGGCCTGCTATCCAGTGCATTCCAAGCCCTGTGCCCACAGTTCCGAGACATGCCCACACTTTCCTGCACCACCCCTCTGATCAGGCAGCCCATTAGTCTTGCTGTCCAGGCCAGAGATTAAGCTCTTTGAGGCTGTATTTGCTGCAACCTTTCTTAAGAGGAAAGTATACACATCATCCACCCATCCATTGTGCAGAGTCTGAATGGGCCTGGCAGAGGACAGGTGTGTGATGCATATCTATTGAAAGTACTGTAGGAAGAGTTCCATAATGTCTCCTTGCCAGAGAGATTGTGCTGCTGCGTTTCCCTTAACCACTCTGTGAACAGGATCCACTGAGCTGCAGGCTCTGAACTGCAGTGAACTCGTGGCTTGCAGTGATAAGTTTCAGCCATCCTCAGGGATCATAGGTGCAACCACCACGCCCAGATCAACCGTGTTTACCGTTTTCATTTATCATTTATGCATATTCAGGCTTTATTTATTCCAGAGAGCTTGGCCCTGCCCTTCCAGGGTTGGCTGTTACTGGAGAGTTAACAAATTGCTTGTGAGCTAGCCTTTCAAATGTACCAGCCTGCAGGAAACCACGCCAACCACAGCCACCACCTTTATCAGGTGCTGAGTTTGTGATCTCCTTCCCATAGTCATCTGTAGGCAAGGAGTCAGTTAGGGCCAGCCCCATGCCCGGCAGCCTTGAAGTTATCTCACCCAGCCCATCTGAACCCTGCTGACCCTTGTTGTCCAGCCCTTTCGGTGGAAGCTACAGTGGGGGCTCCCTGTGGTTTCTTCTTGTTCCCTGGGCCTCCTGGCTTCCTGTGGGACCCTATGTGGCATGTCTGTGAGCATATGGGATGGGCCAGCCTGGTGCTTCATGGCAGTGCCCTGTCCATCATGTGTAGTAAAGAAGATCTTCATCTTGAGTGCCAAACACTCTGGCAGGGCTGTAGCTTAGAGGTAGGGCACTTGCCTACCATTGGAGGGCTCTGAGTTCCACCTCGAGTTTGTAAAAAGCAAAGCACCCCATCCAGAACGAACACACTCTAAACACACTAGAACTGTACTGATATAAACAGGCACTTAGTAATCTTTTCCTGATCTATTATTAAACAACCCTAATCTCAATTTTACACATAACATTTCTACCTGTCCTTTCTTGAACCAAGCTGTCCTGCAACTCACAGAAATCCACCCGCCTCTGGATCCCAAGTGCTGGGATTTTGAACTATCTTCCATAGGCCTGTGTGCAAAAAAGGTTCAGCTCAGGACACACCCAGAATGCCAATCATCCTGTTAAAGCCAGAGTAGGAAGGCACAGTGCCTCACCTCTGTCTTCTCAAAGATTTTTACCTAGCACCTGCTTTCTCCCAGAAAGAAAACCTGGTAAAGACAGTGGGGGAAGGAGGCTCCAACCTCCACAGAAGCACGTGAGGTTTGTTGGGGAGTTTAGAATGCAGTTTCCTCAGAATCCATGCTACTCAGTCCTTGCAAGTTTGTATGTTGGGGACCCTTATGTTTGTCATCTAAGAACACTGACACTGGGATGCTTGGCATGGAGTTCTAGCTAGTGACTGGCAAGAACCTGTGAGCTGGCCTTGGTGTCCCAAGACAGTGTCCCTGCTGTCACGGCTTAGGGACAAACCAGTCAGGAAGCAAGAAACTGGGAGATTGTCAGCACCGGGGATGGAACCCAGGACCTTTGCAAATGCTAGGCATGGACTAGATCACTGCCTTTCACATTTTTCATTTTGAGACAGAGTCTTACTCCGTTGCCCAGGTGGCCTTAAACTTCCTGTCCTCCTCCCTCAGTTCTTGAAGAGCTGGAACTATCAGCCAGCCTGCACCAGCCAGGCTCCTCCCCCTCATTATCATCCACCACAAAGTCTTTCTTAACAAGAATACTCTGCTGTGGATGCACACTGTTGGCCCACTCTCCAATCATTGAGGGCAGGGTAACTGGGTAGCAGAGGCTTCAGAGGTCTGGTTGAGCT